TCCAGTTATTTTCAGTTTCTTAGAATGATCTCCGCTAAGGGAGTACGGTAACTCAATAAACTAAATTGAGCATAGAGAGAGGGAGAATACTGGGAGCTGAGACAACATTTTTCCACCGTGAGGCGGAGATCTCATTCAAACAATAATTGATAATAGCGGTTGGGCCGAGAATCGTACTGTTTGAATTGATACATTTGAAGCCGACTTACTCGACAGAAAATTTTTGCACGGTTCCGATATAACTGAAAACAATAGCCCGGCAGGGGAATTTCGTTTCTCATCCATGCCTAACGAAAATTTCATCAGTGCACTGACTGCCTATTCAGTGGCCCCTGCACGGATAGGAAAAAAAACGTTTACACAACGACATTTGACCGTGTCGAACCTCGTTTTTTACTTTTTTTCTGGTTCTCGTGCCATTTATATCGGAATTTCGGTCTTGCAAATCGGCCTTGAGAAGGGGTCAAATAAGATTTGCACTATGCTGTCTAGGTTTTTTTACAAATCTAAGTTACCTCGAAGACTTTCGAGGTACTTAAGGGGACGCCATGTTGCTTAGCAGCACCTCTGGCTAACTGCGGGCTCAGCAGATTTCTCCAGACAGACTACCAAACGTGTGAGCTTACAAATACAAGACTGGGAGCCTACCTTGACAGAAACGATGAACCAATAGCTGCCTCTTCCGGCTTCACATACATCATACCACCACGATCACCCGTCTCCATGGCGACGCCGGCTTGCAGGCGCTGCTTGTCCGCCCGTCGTATGAGCTGGTCAGCGTTCGGTCCCACCATGTATCCGGGAATGTTGTAGTAAGCGAGGAACTGGGACTCTTCCAAGGTATTCACCATGGCAACAGCCTCTCTTTTCAGTTGGTTCAGGTCTGTGGCACACACTTCACATTGATCATTTTTCCATGACTTCATTTGCGTCTCTGGAATGCGGATCTGGTCGAAGATCCTTGCAGAAAGTGATCCCTGTAACGGAAAATCGAACTCGTAAACGCTTTAACATCGACACAAACTCAAATATGCACGATTGCCTCTTCGCAACTACATTATAGAGAGCTTCTGACACGGGCTTGGCTCACGCATTATTGACAAAAACCGACCGATCATGGACCAGAGGGACCTATGTATAGTAATCAAGGAAAATGGAACGATATTTTCCGATGACACCTGGCCAACCGAGGGGAATAGATCTTACCAAGAGACTATTTTCCAAACCTTTCCCAAATCCGCCACATAAGTGAAATCTGCTGAAAACAAGGAGGGCAACGAACCGGTTTGTCAAAGTGAAGCGGCAAATTTCGGTCCGACTGGTCCGGCGAACAAAGTGGACCACCTCCCGAGGGGCACCCGAATGTTCCGGTTGAATCGAACCGTCGACTGATATTCACGAGAGTTTTGGTTTTATTGAAAGCACCCCAGGGCTCGTGCACCCAGTGTAAACTGATATCTCCTATCACGGGGGAAAAATTACTCCGTTCCCTCCCCCTTCCCCGCCTCCTTCCCCTCCCACTTTACCCGGTTGACTTTCATTCAAAGGTTATTTTCGTCCTGCATCAACACACATGGACACAATTTTGCAACATGCAGGGCACAGCTGTAGACATGTACCGTGATATTGAATCTAACAAGCTAGACTTAATTCTCTGTCATTAAAATAAAGCTTTCGATGTTCAGTTGATTTCATCATCCTATGTAGTCAACTGAGCAAAGTGACGCTGCAAGTTTCACGCTTGAGTAGTAATTCTGCAAGGTAATATATCGTTCTATTCCTAGAGCGGAAATCGTGAGCCTTCGAATATGAATGATCACGTTGTTGAAAATCTTTGATTAGTACGGCAATAATTTGTTCCTGGTTAAAACGTTAAAAGCGTTTACAATGTTACGTAATGTCGACGTGAAAAGCATCCCTTCATAGAGTTTGACCACCATGCTGAGATGATCAGTTTGACTACAAATAAAATATCGTGGTTAGCTAATTTTCAGTTACCTCCATGGCCAAACAAAGGGAAAATAGACGTTGTCCAAAACATATTGTCATAAAAGGTTTTCTTAGCCTTGTTGATTAAACCCAAAAATGATACAAGTTTACAAATATAGCCGAGATATGTCATCCATTCGTCGACGGTTTCAAAACAACTGTGATTGCTAAGGCGAAGACAATTTGAATTAAGACCGCCTTACAATTGCAAATGCAAAATGCTAATGAAAGCGACACAACACCCTTAACTTTAGCCCTTAGAAGTGGATAATTGCTGAAGGCGGGGAGGTTTGCGTTGAATTGCAAAACAGGATTATCAAATTCTTCCGTAAAATTTCCGATGTGTACTACGCATTTCGCTGTCTTCAATGAAAATAGATTTTATCCTACAGGTATGTACTCTTAACGAAGCATGGAACTGTTATTGCACGGTATCGAGGGCAATATCAAGTGTGCGAGTATTTCAAGACGTTGTCATTTATTTTCGGTCAAAATATCGCGTGACGGGAAGGAAAACTTGGCTAATATAATTGGGTTGTTTGAAAAGTTTGTTATGGTTTCGCCTCTAGCGCTCCCACTAATAGCCGGAAATTAGTGGAAAAATTAAACAACGCACGAATATATAAAAAGTTATTAATCACGATCGTAAGTGACAAAACTGTACATTCCACGGGTGAAAAAAGAAACGATTAAGTTTTTAACTCCTTAAGGACCTTGTACGCGGTGCAGAATTTCGGAACATTGCAAAAGATTCTTGCAAGGAATTCAATCTAGTTTGTAAACAAGGTCGACTTCAGGTGCTTATAGTAGTGGAGAAGTTAACCCTTAACCTAGCAAATCTGGAAACTTACCAATGCGATACAAGTTCATTGAACTTGGAAAACAAGTAAAACCACAGGAGGTAACTCGTAATAGCTTTTGATTTAATGGTCACACAGTAGGGTTTCATCCACAAAACTTCAAAGTTAGAACCAACTTGAACAGCATAATAAACAGTACCACATGAAAGTACTGCTCAATAGCTTTCATTTGAATGGTCGAACTCTATGGCCTAATGCAGCGATGAGCCAAGTTATAATTTTACTCTAGAGCGAGAAAAGTTGACGTTAAAATTTGCTTTTATCTATTTTTTTTGTTGACGTATAAACAAGTTAAACTATCCTGAAACTCTAAAAGTGCTGAGTGTTACATTTCAAGGTATGGCTTACGTAAGTTAACGAGAACTTTCAATATGAGAAGTGGTTGTGAAAGAAAAAATGTATTCTTACATAGCCTTCTTCTCAACAGTGAACAGTGTCTGACTATCATAACTTTCAGCTGGTGGGAAAGTCTTTGAAATGTTAAGGCGAGCGCAAAGGTAGATTGCCAAAAGTTCAAATATAATGATTATACACTTGACGTGTTTTGTACCTTCTTTCCTGTTACAGTCCTTCCTACGGGAAAAACACAAGTTCCTTCCATGTCGTTTTAGCTCTTCTGATGCTAATATAAAGTGTTTTCTGTTTTTATGAGCTTATTTTAGCTTTTAAGACATGCAAGATGGACTCAACACGCAACGTTTTCCATGCCCCATTTACTAGCAAAGAGCTGAATCACTTTATTCGAGTGCTGATGTCATACAGAGTAAATTAATCACCTCCTCTCAACAAGGTGTCAAAGGGCTACTTTGTTTATTAAATTAACGGCGTACCTGTAGAAATCGTGAATCGTGCACACTTAAACACACGCAGAGTTCGCCATTTTGGCGGCCATTAACGGCCGCGCGCTTTTTTTGAGCTGCTGTGAGTGATTTTAAAATCAATTATATCGCTCAAGGTGGAGCCACAAACCTCATTTCATTGTAAACTTACCGAGACATCTATATATGACGTACATGACCCAAATTGCTTTTATGTGTGAGCATGAAAACAATTCCCCCGAAGGGTTTCCAATTATGTTCGTTCGACTGCGACGCACATGCGGAGACAATGACCTTGTACTAAAGAACCGGTAAAGAAAAGCACTCTGACTCGTTTCAATGAAAATTTGTGAATGAGATTTAGTGTTTTTTTTTTTGTTTTTTTTTAACTCTTTGTTTCGCTGTGCTATTTATTCACTGAACGATCAGACGTTTACTGTTGATTTAGATTCAAAACCGCAACTCCAGCTCATATGCATGAAAAAACTAGATTATATACTGAACTTAGCGTCAATTTCCCGCCCGTAGGAAGCAAACAAGAGTGTGTACCAAATCAACCCATTTTTTTTTATTGTTTTGAACAATAGATACATCTTGCAAGATTTCACGTCCAAAAGCCGCGACCAAAACGTAATTTTAGTTATATTTCCGTTTCTTTATACGTTCAGACGAGTCGGTTTCGTCAAAGAAACCGCCTCCGCCCCTGCGAACCGTTTCGTTTACTCGAGCATAGAGGCAACCCACTGTAAACATGACAGAGCGCGCGCCCACGTGCGAAGTTAACTGCATTGCAAAACTTTGTAAAACTTTCTCCAGACACAAGATGAGAAATATAGTGATAAGAGGGACTTAAAGCATTGGGCTTTAAGCTGCAAACAAACTTAATAAAAATTCAAGATCTGAAACCACAATCCACCAGCCACAGGGTTAACAAAATTGTAAACTTTACCTTTATATCTCGCTCGTAAACCACCTCGCTCAGTAAAAAAATCTCGGTTTCCACTCAAATTCGACCTGTTAGTCTTTCAGCTTATTTGGTCTCATCTCTTTATGTCGACTCTTGATTAGTGACTCGGAGTTTGCTGTTCCCCTTGCGTAATGCCAAAACTCTAAGAAGCTGCGTAGCTCTTTGGAAACCCACAACATCTGAAGTGTTTTTAACCCAAACACTCCATCCTAAAATATTTCATGCATCAGTGGACCATTCTAATAAGCAACTGTATTCATAAGGAGGAGCTCTTAAATGGCGGAGAACCACTTTGTAAACAACAAAAAGCTTTTACATCTCTTTGTTGCGCGAACAAGGTCTGTAGTTTTCGATTATTTCCAAATTCTAACACAACCTCGCTGGCGTCAAAAGACAAGGAAAACAAATTGGTCCTCGCACTCAACTGTGCGCTAACCACTTCACCGAGGGGGCAAAATTTACGTGCACACGAAGATGGTAAGGAGGCCAGCCTTGGAAGCTCTATAAGACTATCCTGAGGCAAAACTACTGTAATTCCAAGTATTGGATCGTTATTTTGAAGCATGCATGTTTGCACGCGAACAGCTTTGTATGAAACACTGCGCATTTTGAGGGTGTAGATAGGGTTTTTAAACTAGGAAACGGCCGAAGTTTTAATTGTCACCTGAGAAATAATTCGTTTATTAACCGAACGCGTCAGATCTGAGATCTGCACAATTTAGAAATGGACTGAAATTTTAACTGGTAGCTAAGAATAATTGCATATCAGTGCCTCCTTACGTCATTTACTTTTGCCTGTTTCTTGCTGCAGTCAGTCTCCCACAAGAAGTGTTAAGCGTGGAGTAGATAAAAAAGCTGGTTGTTATAAAAGTCCCATTCTCTCAATCAATATATACTTAGCGTAGACAAAGCGACGTCTAGCCGTTATGAAAGTCCTTAGCAATATGAATATTTTTTGTCAAATTCTGCTCTCCTCTCGACGACAAGCTCGGGTCTGATATGCGTTCCCGGCGGCGAACCGTTGACCTGCGGTTTTGTTGACTGTGTTCTGTGGTCATGTCGTGATCACCAAAATGACGGTCAAGTGGTGCCCAGGCTACCTCACGCGGTCTTCGCACTGCACTCTGACTTTGAGATTTTTCGTTCATTTGGCTATGCCAGCCTTAGGCCCCGTTCACACGTATCCGAATATTTTGGAATCCGCAACTTTTCTTTCCGGCCTTAGTGTTCGCTTCTACCTTCTGTACGCCACGATTTCAGTTTATGTCCACTGTTTACATCATCGCGCTCTTTAAATTCAACATGTCTTCACTATCTACAACATTTGGCGCAATGGCTTGCCCTTTTGGAAGCAATATTCTGCGTTTTTGCCAAGCAGTCTCTAACTCAAACAAAACGATCTGTTTAATTTTTCAAATTTTCTTCTCTGCGAGCAAAAGAACTAAACAGCTGCGAGTTTAATCTTCTGGAATACTTCTCTTTTCCCCGGAAATGATCTTGAACTAATCATGAATAGCAAAGAGTTACTGGGTAGAAATCTTTCATTAAAATGGTCGTGGTTTGATATCCAAAACAATACTTATGACGGATTAATTGGTATTACAAGTATTCACATAATTCGAAGAGATTTACTTGTTTGCCATTCAATTAAAGTTGACTGTAAATACGGGCAACATATTACAAGAANGGTATGAATTTTCCTCAGTTTATATAGTATTTGAGCTTTGTTCATTTATAAATGCCAACAGCTACGCAAAGTTTTCAAGGATGCACTTCTAAATATGGAATGTTAAACTGTAGGTTAAAATTAATCCAACTGAAAACTATGAAATAACTCGTCATTGTGAAAATATCCGCTATTACCAATGGAGATTGTCATTAAAAAATCTCGCAAATTTTACAAAACCAAGGCAAACGTAAACTGTTTTCTCAATAGCAATAAGTCTTGTAACGTTTTCTAGAAAATTGAGAAACAAAGTTTGTTTTGACGATTAACAAGTCAGTATTTCAATGCTTTTATCTCGACTCGAATGACGTTAGTGCACTGGTCACTTGGAGTTATGAACTTTATCTATTGCTGTCATATATTTAATTTCCAGTGTTAACGTCAAACAACTTCGAGTACTTTTCGCATGACATTTAAATGAGGGAGTTTCGAAATGTACACTTGCACTTAAGCTTAACTTCACAAATTTCTCACAATAGACGTTGGAAAGAAATAGGTGTGAGAAAAAAATAAATTCATAAATTGAGCTGTGATTTCCTGGCTGCTAATGCGATGACACAGGGTTGGCAAAATGCTCGGCGTTGCTGACATTTTTCTCTCTCAGTAAGGGAATCGCTGGAGGTAGTGAAATAATTAACCATTCTTCAACGTCAAATGGAGGTGATCTTAAGTTTGTTCTCACCTCATTGGAAATGTTAACAAGCAAATAAAACAACTTGTTAATAGCTTAAGCAAAATTGAGTTCAGCTAACACAGCCAGCTCACACGGTTTTAGTCGATGCAGGTTGATTGAAGTTTTCGCGCCCGCTGAGGCATACTTACTAGAAATAAACTAATAAACACTCGCAAGCGAACTATCTGAACATACCGTATTTTTGTTTTTTCGCTCCTTCTGCAAAACACCCTGTATTTCCGGCAAAATCATCCTCATTACTTGCCGTTTGAGCTCGACAAGTCGGTTGTTGCATTTTTCACACCAGACGCCAAGTTCTCGGGGAATATCGTTTGGCTTCGTGGATGTCCGTGAATGGCGAGGAGCTCCTGACGAACGCATTTCGGAAATCTGGAAAGCAATACAAATATTGTTAACATAGGCCATTTAAAATTGCAACGGAGCTTAAGTTAAGAAAACATTACGTTCGTTAAGAGCATTACCTGAAGAGCTTCGCGATTTAGATGCCTGATACTACATTAACTTGGTAGCCTGCGCTTATCTGCTGAACAGAAACATTATAACAGGAGAAATCCGTTTTTAATCCCTTTTTCGGCGAATCGTCCTAATTGTCTAAACCATTTAAAGGCAGGCACAGGACTTGGCATGGCTTACCAAACATGCGTTTAGTGTGTAATCAGATTTTTGCGTTTTTGTCGAGTGTGCTGTCCGGTAATGCGAGCGGCGACGCTTGAATGAAAAGATTTTTGATTCCATTCTCGCAAGTCTCTTAATCATACGGTGTTGAAAGGTTGTCAATGCACTCCAGATGTTATGGGCTGGACTTCCTATGGGGAAAGCACGGGAGTCTTGTCACGGTAGACAGCAACAAAACATCACGCTATGAATGGTTGAAATTAAATCGTGGATCGACGGGTTTCCTTAAGCTCAAAGAATGCAATTAACATACTAGTAAGAGACTTCAGATGTCGATAACATCGCTCATATCGAGCGGAGAAATTCATTATTAACCTGCGCTTTATGAATTACGAAGATTTTCCAGCACGATTGAAGTTCAAATCCACACCGAGCGGAAGGAACTAAAGAAAACTCAAACGCATAAAGAGTATAAATCTTAATAAACCAGATGTTTTTTTCTTGGCTCAAAAAGGACTTTTTCAGTCAGAGAGTTCGCCTCTAGAAAATGCCGTTTTGTTTTAGAAAAGTTATATCAGTTTTATTTTCAAACCATTCCCTAGATCTTTCAACCGAATCTTTTCTGCAGTACTGAATTGATACAATGTCCCACAGGCAAGCGTCGCTAATTTTCCATTCTAAAGTTCATTGTTTGTTTGTTTTAAGAGCTTTTCCAGCAGTCAAAATTTAACATATGGTCCGCAGAGATTTGACGCAGATGTAACAGTGATTTCCTTGGTTAATTACGTTAGAAACGTGTAAACTCTTTTAGATAGGGTTCTACTAAGACTGTAGTGTGGTGAATTCTGTCCTAGTTGTACATCAAAGCGAAAAAGTAAATCAAACCATTTCAGATGCGTGGTTTCAAGCGGCAGAATGAAAGTGAAAAACATATTTTACGCATATCGCTTGTTGTCTTGAATCCGTGACACTAATTGAAACTGAAAGAAAACTCTTGATGTCGATAGACGGAAATAATTAATTAGTTTTCACCAGGAATCAACATTTTTCAATGACGTAAGAAAAAGTCACGCAACACTCAAAAAAGCGCGTTTACAAAAGCTTTCCGGATATTTCCGGATTAAGAACTACCCCGAACAAGCAAAACAGTTCGTCGTTATCAGGAGTTTTAGTCCAATAAGACCATACATTAACTTTTTGACCCCATATCCTTGAACAGGCAAGTGGCTACCTGGGGTTTTGTTTCGTGTTGGAGCGACCTGGGTAGTGCTAATGTCGGTCTGCATGAAAGCCACTGTGAAATGACGAACCGGGAGAGACAAAAAGGCATTGATTGATGCAGACAATGAAACTGGAGATATTTTGACTCTGAAAATGTCATGTCTAATTCCACGGCCCAGTATGTAACGTTATCCTGGACAAAGGAGAACGAAACCAAAAATATCACCCGTAGAAAAGATGGCCTTCAGTTTTCAACCCACCTCGCTAACAGAACATTTTTCTCTGTAGTTATTCGTTTTTCGTCCACACATTTATTCCTATTTCTTGATTTCCTATTTCATGCAAGAAAGGAATTTTTCCAGCAGTTTTAACCGGTGTCATTTGGAATGAATCAGTGTAATGCGATAAGCCACAGTCAAGTTTTTCTCGTTTATTCTTGTAAAACAGGTTGATTCCTTCAGAAAGGGAGCATTTCCCAAGAAAATAAGATACATACGCATATTGCTAAATCTGCAAGTCTGTTGTATTTTTCAATAGCTTTGAAATGATTCCGAAAAGTAGATTTAAGACGAGATTTCAATCAGTTTTGTACAGTGCTGTGTTGAATTCGTTTAGCAAGCAGGTCCTTTTCGTTTCACAGCTTCCGACACTTGGTTTAAGGGCCGTCGAAAGCATTGGAGTAAACAAATTCGCGTGACTACTAAAACTTTGCGTGCATGTTCCTTGTTCAATTTCGGCGTTGGACTGAGGAGTTTGGCCACGCGCCGAACTGGATATCGCAGATATCGGCGAGACAACTCGACAGCCCTTGATGTCGGTCACCTCTCAAAGGTTAAGGACTGATCAGGGAATACGAGAAATATTCTACACGAATTCCATCGGTGGAAAATACTGTGCTAGAATATTGTTTGTGCTGTAAGAACTATGATGTTGCTAGAGTTCAGAATGAAACAATAAAATATGCTCAGATTGACAATTTAAAAGTAACGTTGAAGAAAGACGAAAAATGCTTGTTACGATAAGTGAATCCCAAGGAATTTTGCAATGTTTTCGCCTAGACTTCACTTAATAATCGTTAATCAATGACATCGGTTATACGATGCGAAGACTGACTTTAATGACAACCAGTTAACCGCTACTAAAAATGAAACTCAATTTCAATTTTTAAGCAGTATTTGGTTGCCAAAAAAAGTTCGCTTGGATAAACTGAAAATAATTTGAAAACATGAGAACTTTATGAATCTTTTCCTGAACTTAACCCACTCGTCCCGACTATGTAGCAGATATTAGAAAGCAAATATAACACAAATTTATTCGAGTTTTTTTAGACACTGGATTTTCACTGATTCATCACTGATAAGAAGTTTCATCCGCATCAATAATCTAGGATTGACATGGTGGCTAATTCTTCAAACGTTTTTTGTTGTTGTTGTTGTTGTTGTTATTTGTTTTTCGTGGCAGTTTTTTTCCTCCAGTCTATCGGAAAACAGGGAAATAGTTCAGAAACTGTTGACGAGATTCTCCTACATATTATTAATCAACCAGGCATCTACTTTGTGCAATAAATCGAAGTGATAAAATCCGGAAGACATTATTAGAGGAAATGTCAAACTTCCGAGATGTTGAACTGCAGGATTGGAAATAGGAGAGACTTTCCAAATATCTTTACACAAAACTAAGAGCTGTCTTCCTCATTAAGACCAACCTTTGCGCCACCCAACGAGAGCTCGATGTGATCTGCTTAAAAGGTTTTGTCGGGGAGTCCAGCTGAGCTTGGAACAGGATTTAGGAGCAATTCTTGAGGCACGGAAGGACTGTTAACGATCATTTAAGACACATGCGTACATCCAATTAAGAACGCTGTGCAAACAACTGAAGAACTAATACGAAGCGTGCGGCTTGGCACATAATTGTGAAAAACATAGACCAAGTGGCACGAAATTGATTTGCAGTTGAATGAGAAAACCAAGCTGCCCAATGTTCAGCTAATACCAAATCTTAGATGGCTAATTGGCTATTAACTCGAGCGAAAGCCCACAAACATGGTGTGCGCTATTTCTATTATTACGTGGCGTAAAATAGCATTAAAGTTATAAATGTTATTCAAATGAAACACTTGAGCGGGTGTTTGCATGTGTTCAGTACGGTTTATACTAAAGTGTGTTGCCATTTTCAACAAAGTGAAAGCTATTGAGCAGTTCCTTCATAAGGCACTGTTTATAATGCTGTTCAAGATTGTTCTAGGTTTAAATTCTGTGGTTGAAACCCTAGTGTGTGTCCATTCAAATGAAAGGTTTTTTGTTAGCATTACATTTTTATTTTTTTGCTCGTATGAGTTGTAAGCTAAAAAAACCCCCTAAGGGTCAGCCATTGAGATGAACGTTTTTGCACTTTCTTGCACAACGATACAGGTGTCTTTCATCATAGAAGACACTTTCGGTGGTTCAAAAAATTGATTGACATTTCACGGTGGTTAACCATTCCATTAAAATTATAACCTTAAGTAACTATTTCGCATTTCTTTGGCATCCGTGAAAAATTCTTAGTACTTCAAAGAAAGCGGCAAAAGTTGAGGATCACCTACCGAAAGCTTTAAAATATACTGTTTATACAATGCAGTTCTTTACAGTCAAATTTCGGACTTTTATTTCTGCTAGAGTATTGCACATAGATGTGCAAATTGGGCAGAACGCGGTTAAGGTAGTAATTTTGCCATTTAATTGCAATACACAATTACGCCGTGGGTTTAGAACTGAAAAATACCGCCAAAGTGCGACGCGGCATCTGTTAAATCCTTTAGGTCGCGACTGTACGATAAGCAAGCGGTATTGCACGATTGAGCTGATATCCAGAGAGTCCTACGGCTATCTATGTCCGAGGCACGTATATAAACAAAACTGTAGGATTTTCTCCACGTAGCAAAGAAAATGGATCTCCATTAATTAGTTCTAAAGATTGACTTTCTTTTCCGAGACTCCGATATTTCCTGTTTTGTTGCGTGTAGGTAACCCTAAGGTCAAGATGCTCTCCACTTTATAAGCTAGCGTTGCCGGTAACAAATACTAATTTAATCCTGGCGTAACTTAGAGGCGTGGCAACCTCGGAACGAAAAATTTTGCGCGCGTAGCCTCGTTTTCAAGCTAGCCTCTCTCTCGTGCGATACGTGAATGGACAAGACGTTGGAACGTTTGTTAGAACAAAAAACGTTTAGAAACACAGTGTTCTAGCAGTAGTTTTAAGTTATGCCAAACCGTGACTATTGCCATAACTCCAATGAAGCGAGAAAAGTGGTGTTTCTGTTTGTTACATATGAATGATCTTACTAAGAACGCCTCAGTTCTAATATGACCTGCTTCTAGAATTTCAAGTGAACAATAATTGACTGAAAACAAACCGAACAACGTAAAAGTGCGCCAAAATAGCTCTCATTTGAATGGTCAAACACTTGGGTGTCATTCGTAGACTTAAAAGTTGGAATCACCTTGCACAGCATAGTAGACAGTACCACATGAAAGTACTGCTCAATAGCGTTC